GCTTGGTTGGTTGGTTGGTTGTTTACAGAGGGTGCAGTTGCACAAGGAAGTGGTGAAGGTGAAAAGGGGTAATATTCGTGAAAATTTGTTCTTATAAACCAAACTCCAACTCAGCAACAAGGGAGTATGTCAAATTCATCCATAACTTTGAATTATACATGTACACTGTTTAAGGACGGCGGGAAACGAAAGTGGGGGAGGGAGTCCAGTAGACTGACCACCAGTCTGGGGCTAGAGGGCGCTATGCAATTTTAGGGTCAGGCGCGATGCACAAATTAATGGTGCATGCACGTCGTGTTTTTGTTCTGTGGTGACGAGCAGACCGACCTTGTTACTTGAGTTCCCAGGTACCAAGACAATCGCAGGTGTTTCCTTTGCCTTGTCTGAAGTTCCTGGCCAATTGCCAACAGATTGTTTGTAAAAAAGTGATTTATTTTACTTCAAGTTCAACGTACGTCAAGAGTACCGTCACGTCAGCATCATGCTGTCTGGCTGTGCATGGAGGTAGGACAAAATGTAGGCCTTTTTAAAGTGTGACAGGTCAAAAATTTTGAACCATGGAGGAAAGACTTTAGGTTAGGGTTAGCCCCACTAGTATGGCACGGACTCTCACTTACGATCCGCAGTGAGAGTCCGTGCTATGCTACACTACTTGGACTAGGTTAGGGTAGGGTTACGTTTATCGACCGCTTCATCCTCCACACGCTGACACGGCAGACGAATGGCAAACGAACCGCATACTCCCAAGGGTACTGTCATGACTGTATAACCGGTTAATATGGGGGGGGCCTCAGGCACTTGGAAACAGTTATACATGGACTAACATACACCAGTATGACAGCTATTAAAAAACAAAAACGTGTCCAGGAAAGTTCAATTTAAGAGGGAAAATACCACGTCATTTACCATTAGATAACACTCAGATTCCCAGACTGTGGACACGGCGGACATCTTGGAGTTTTGGAAAATGCTGGCCATAGCAACCACACTGTGCTAATGAAAACAACTGCAAGGAGTGCGCGTGTTCGCAATGATCAAAGAAACAACTGTTTCCCTGTATGACTAGTTGGTATGGTGCATATATCACCATGGTGGCTGTTTCTTTGGCG